GGGTAATAAAGTGTCTCTACTAGTATTAAGCATAACTGTGATCATCCATTACTAGGGGTATTAGAACTAAATGTGATTTACAACTTGTATATCTATCTTCTATGATTTGCATTATTTAAGCTACGTACGTAAGCGCCAATCATGCACGTTATTTGTCCATATACTTCTTTTTAAAACCTTAGTTCTTCTCTATAATTTTGAGAATTTATGGTCCTTTAATTTGTACTAATGAATTTCCTTCCTTGGTTCTGTTGTGTCATTCTCCCTACAATTAAATTTATTTAATCCAAACTAATCCAATTTAGCTTGTTCTAATATCAAGTCAATTGAACATAGGCCAGGTTTTGAGCCTGAAACAACAACCTAACATGAAAATCAGGCTATTTTAAGATCCAACTAAAAACTTATCTCAATCCTACTCATATACATCCCTATTACCAACCCTAAAATTTTCATGAACATGATATTTCATTTTTATTTTTCTTGTGACAAGATAGTGTATATGGTATTAACTAACTACTGACTAATTTGGATTCAAGTTAGATCCATACTTAATGAGGGAGGGGAACTCTACCAATATGATACTTTTAGCCACAAGGGTTAAATTTGAGACATTAATTACCAACCACAATAGGTGTATCTTTGATTGCATTTTGATTTTCCTCCCTATAGTTCTATTTTATTATTCCCAATCCTTTTAATTTGATCTATTTGAAACGATTAGTCCCTATAGTTTTAAAAATATACATGTGAATATGAGCTGGCTTGCACTAATAATTTAATTTTACTGGCATGTATTTAAATTTGTTAACCTTTTTGGTAACGTGTATTTAACCTCACATTCATCTCCCTCATTCTTTTTTGGCCAAATACAAAACAAAGCTTCTTTCCCATTTACCTTTTATTTTTAATCACACATTTTCATTAATTTTACTGGCATGTATTTAACTTTGTTAACCTTTTTGGTAACGTGTATTTAACCTCACATTCATCTCCCTCATTCTTTTTTAGCCAAATACTAAACAAAACTTCTTTCCCATTTACCTTTTATTTTTAATCATACATTTTCATTTTATTTCCATATCATTAGAATATTTTAACCCTGTTAGGAAAGGGGTTAGCAAAGCTACTTCAGTGTCAACTCATGAAGTTCTTGTGCATTTAAAAAAGAAAAACTATAGAGACCAGCATTACATACTGATCAAATTAAAAGGACTAAAAACAAAAAAAAATAAAATTATAAGAACTAATAACAAAACACAATTGAAGTACATGAATCTATTGTTGTTTTTTTTTTTTTTTTGACGATATCAAAAACTAAGCCATTTTGCCTTTTTTTTTATCCTTTTTTTGTTCAACAGTTGGCTAGCTAGGTTGAACAGAAGCCGATAATATTTCCCATTAACAAGATTGGGTGTTCAACCTTGTTGATTTTAAAACCCATGCAATGAATAGTAATATCCTTGTTTAGTGTCGACAATACTCTCATATGGATTAATCATAATATTCCATAACAACAATAACAACAAGCCTTTATCCCACTAGGTGAGGTCAGCTACATGGATTGCAAGACGCCATTGTGCTCTATTATTTATCAAGCTTTTAGGAATATTATTAATTAAGAGATCGGTTCAACAACTTCTAAGAGTGTTCTCTTAGGCCTTCCTCTACCTCTCTTAATCGGACTTAAAGTTATATGTTCCACTCTTCTCACTGATGCCTCCCTTGGTCTTCTTTGTACATGCCCAAACCATCTCAACCGATTTTCTACCATTGTTTCCTCAATAGGTGCCACCCTCACTGTTGATGGCCTAACACAACCCTCCTCTTTTACTCGGGCTTGGAATCGGCTATAAACATAGGCGGAGTTAATCATAATATTCCATATACTGCATAATTGTTGATAACAATTCATGGAGACATTCTGCAATGTTATTTAATGTTGAGATGTCAAGTATGAGTTGGCTTGACATGGTATAGGAGAAAAGTCTTGTATCGTATATAGTTGATTAGAGAAGAGGAATATAAGTGAAAAAGACTCATAAATTTAATATCTTAAAGTTTTGCATTAAGATTTAATGTCATATTCATTTATACGTGTTTTCTTAAAACCATTGGGTGTCCCAGCTGTGTTCTCCCCTATTTTGATATGCTCCCCGGGCCAACATTTAATGGTTAAATATGAACCGCATGTAAGTTTTCCCTATTGTTGTGTGTACACACACATGTATATGTTGCTGACAACCTTATACTATTTTAAAATTTGAAAAGTAAGTCGTCATTTAACATATACAGTTGAATTCCAGTTCATATTACACACCAATAGAAGTATCTTTATCAATCCATTAATTCCTATTTGCATAATATTATAATAGCTTACTTAAATATTAAAAGATTATTCTTCCCAATGACGGTTGTGATGAGTGGAAGGAGATCACTAACCTTTAAATTAAAACTGGCAAAAGAAACTTCACTTTAGGATGATCAAACTTTATTAGCGGAAGATTCAAACTTTTTGACTGGCAAAAGAAGGTTTGTGCTATGAGAGCTATTTTGACTTCAGAATAATCAAATGCTTGATTAATGCTTCATTCATTTCAAATTATAAGACACTTCTTGGAAGATTCAATATTCCAAAATATAAGAGACATTGAGAAAAATAAGGATTTCATAGTGATGTTTTTCTAATATTATTCTTCTCATATATTCTTTCTTTAATATTCTTTTATAAATAAGTACTCCTTCCATCCCAAATTATAAGACACTTTTAAATAAAATTTTACATATCAATAAAGCTCATTAAATACACTTTACAACCTTACATTTTCAAAACAAAAATATAAACTTTCAAAAATGCCCTTCATTTAGTACTCCATTGATGAAAAAATATTGAAGAGAGAGAATATATGGGAAGGATAATAATGAAATAGTATCATTAATAAAACTATATTTTTATCAAAGTGTCTTATATTTTGGGACGCTGAATCTTTTCTAAAAGTATCTTATAATTTGGGACGGATGAAGTATTAAAGAAGGGCATTTTTAAAAATTTATATTTTTATTTTGACAAAAATTAGGTTGTATTGTTGTAAATGTATTTTATAAGTTTTATTGATATGTGTGATTTTGTTCAAAAATATTTTATAAAACCATATATCAGATAATTGTTTGAAAGGAAGAAATAATTCCTGGAGCTCTTTAATTAATGGGTAATATGAACTCCATACAAATTGCGTGTAAATTTCCACATTGTCATCTCAAAATTTGGAAAGCGCGATTCAGTAGTCACTTGTCACTCGTCATCGGACAAATAGCTGAATTCCAATTCCACATGCACGAATGAAAAAGTTGGACCCGTATAGTTTCTTCCTTTCTTTTTTTTTTTTTTTTGGTAATAGGACTCTTTTTTAGTTTCTTATTATCGTTTTTTTTAATCCAAAAGTTTCTTATTACCGTTATTATTCCAGATTGTTAACCAGTCAATGATAGCGCGATTAAAATGAATTATTTGCCTTCTGACATCATGTTACATGTTAATAATTGTAACCGGTTATTTGGTGTGTACATATAATAAAAACGAATAATAGAAAAACAAATAAAAGATATATTTATGAATACAAAATTATACTCTTAATTTTAAATAAAATAGTTGAAAATTTTAATAACTATTAAAAGAATGTAATAAATATCACACATGGACCTTATTTTATATATATATATATATATATATATTATTGAAAAGAAAATTTGATGTAAAATTAAAACCAAACATACATAAAAAGATTCTAGGTGTCTTCCCATTTTTTATTTCCAGATCTTTTCAATTTTCTCGCACGATTAGATTATCGTGGAAGCATCAATTTATTGCTAGTAGCATAAAATTAAAACATTTTTCCTTCTCAATCTTCATTATTTTCCCTTCCATTCCTGATTTCATTGGCTTTTTGTTTGAGTTTCATTATTTAACTGGTCTGTTGCATGTTTTTGAAACAATCTTATGTATTAGGCAAACGATACGGGATAGTTACATTGATTGTTCAACTCAAAATATAATTTACAAAAAATAGAATAAAGTGATACTATTAATTCACTACATATATATATATATATATATATATTCCTAAATGGGAATAGTTTTTTTTTCTTTATGGATTATTTTAGTACATTTTGCCTGATAATTTCACTGAATCTGGTTTATCATATTTGATGATTTATCATCCTTATACTTTTCACAGATTGTATGCAATTTGAGATAAGTTGCATTGTCCGCAACACATGAATAGGTTGGCATGCTGGAAATTCAGTTTGATAAAATTATGCCAACATGTTTAATTCATAATTCATAATTCACAATACCAGTTCAAAAAATATTAAGAATAAGTCGTTTATAATTCATCTCAGTGACTGAAACAAAAAATTCAAAATCTATTTCAAAGGATTAAAGTATTATTTTCGAGCGAAGATAGTTGAATTACGATATGGAACTAATAAATTGAAATTTCTTCATTTGAATTAAGTGAGGTATATATATATATATATATATATATATATATCTAGATAGATGGATGGATGGATGGATAATGACTAATTGGAATAATTTGCCGCATGTCGTCAAGAAAATAGTAACAGACAAAAATAATGGACCCATGAATTAAATTCAATACGTGTGAATTCGTAAAGGAGGTATTTGATTTATTAACTCAACTCGCCATTTCTGACTTTTCTTTGTCAATCTACCTCTATATATTCATTGAAGCCAATGGACATTGAAACAGCACAGCGAGTTCTTTCAAAGCTCGAAAAAATCACCATATAGTTATGGGCTCAATTATGGAAGCCAACCCTACAACCCTACAAGTGAGTTCTTTCAAGCTCAAGCTCACTTGTATAAACACATTTTTGGTCACATTAGTCGAATAATTCTCAAGTGTGCCATTGAGCTGAGCATCCCAGACATAATCCACAACCATGGCCAACCTATTAGTCTTCCTCTGTTGATCTCCAAACTTCAAGTTCACCCAACCAAAACTGCAAGTGTAGAGAGGCTTGTTCGATTCCTAGTTCATGATGGCTTCTTATCAGAAACCAAAGTTAACAGGGAAGACGATGGAGAAAAGATGGCATACACTCTCACTCCTTCTTCTAAGTTTCTTGTCAAAGGCATTGAACCTAATTTAACACCAATGGTGTTAGGGTCTTTTCATGCTAATTTCACTGCTTCATTTGATTTTCTGGGAAGGTGGTTCAAAGGGGATGAGAAGACGACCACTGAGAGTGCCTTTGGTGTAGGACCTTGGGACATGCTTGGACGTGATCCTCAGAAACTGAAGTCTTTCAATGAAGCCATGGCAAGTGATTCGCAGATGATCAATATGGCACTTAGAGACTCTAAGTCAGTCTTCAAAGGATTGGAATCCATAGTTGATGTAGGAGGCGGCACAGGTACCACATGCAAAATCATATCTGAAGCATACCCTAATCTGAAATGCATAGTGTTTGATCTTCCTCAAGTTGTGGAAAACTGTTCAGGGAGCAACAACTTGAGTTATGTTGGTGGGAGCATGTTTGAATCCATCCCTTCTGCTGATGTGGTTCTATTGAAGGCAAGTTATTTTCCACAATTCCTTTACTGATGCATTCACATAGAATTATGTGTTTTCTATGATCATCCCATATTTGATATGCTAAGTCAAATTCAACTATCATCAAGTAAAATTAAAAGCGTCTCTACTAATGTCATTGATTGACATTAACGTTGATATATTGAATATTTGTTAAAAATATAAAGGGTATTGTAGTCATTTCTCTTTAAAATTTATTTTTAATTTAGTGCATTTGTCCGGTAGTGAATTTTCAAAATTCGTTGGACTTGATTTGAAATAATACCACATCAATGGTCCTATATTGAAATTTTCCCAATTCCTTTTCTTATGCATGCACTTAGAATGAATTAGATGTGTTCTGTGATTATCCCATATTTGATATGTCAAGTCAAATTCAAATATTATTAAGTACAATTACGAGTATCTCTACTAATGTATCAATATGTTATGTCTATTGTTGCGCGAAAAAGGTGGTAAAATTTGAGGTTGTCAATTTTGTGCAGTGGATATTACATAATTGGGATGATGAAAACGCCATGAAGATACTGAACAATTGTAAGGAAGCAATCTCAAAGAAAGGAGGAGGGAAGGTGATAATCATAGATGCAGTGATAAAGGAGAAGGAAGATGAACATGAAATGACAGAAGTGAAACTCTTGTTTGACATTATGATGATGAGTAACTTCAATGGAAAAGAGAGAACTGAAGAAGAGTGGAAGAAACTTCTTGTCTCTGCAGGCTTCAAACATCACAAGATTGCCCCTCTTTTCGGGTTTAGGTCAATTATTGAAGCTTATCCTTAATTAATCAATATTTGGTTTGAAACGCATTGACTAATATATTTAGACTTTAAAGTTTTATATTTTCTTATATTTGATTATGCAACAATACGGAGCCAGGCCTATGCATGCATTACGGTTGGTGTTTGATATATACTTGTTTGCAAGGGGAATAAAATTAGCAGAATTTCGGTCAAGGACCATTGCAGAAGCTTTATTTCAAATCAAGATTTAATCGTTGTAAAATTACACTGTAAGATAATCAAGGTACTAAATTGAAATTATATTGTAAAGGGAAATAACTAAAATGTCCTTTATTTATTTTAAAAAAAATCACCAACCACGGTCATTGGTGCCCCAACTATAGCCATGAATTGAAGCTGCAATGACCAAACAACCATTGACAATAGTCCTAAAATGTTTGATGATCAGACCAATGTTGCTAATAGAATAAATGCTCAAAGGTGATCAAGGGAGGTTTGAACCCATGACCCTTTGGTTCACCTAAAAAATATAATTACCAAGTCATTGATATGTCTTTATTATATATTGCAAAAAATATATATAAAAAATAAAGGATTAAAGGCAGTTTCCCCCTTAAATTATAGGTTCAAAAATGTTCAGGACCTTAAACTCATTTTTGATACTATGTCTCTCTTCTTCTTTTTATTTTAAATAGCACAATGTTGTCCTTACTGTTAATAAAATTTGACTTTGATAATAGTTAGTTGATCAGAAAATTACATAAAATATCTAAAATATTATGCAAAATGATACAACAAAATTACATACAAGGACCCAATTAAAAATTACCGTTAGTTTCTTCTATTCTTCTTCAATTCTCTCTTTTCCATTGTAGTTGCTCCATCATAATGCCAAACAAGAGTTTCGCTCATGTCATTTTTCTTGCTTATCTTCCTTCTCCTTTATCACTGGATCTATGATTATCTCCTTCCCTCCTTTTTCCTTTCTTTGAGATTTCTTCTTTACATTTGCTTAGTATTTTCATGGCGTTTTCATCATCCCAATTATGTAATATCTACTACATAAGACTGACAATCACAAATTTAACCACTTTTTCATGTATTAATAAATATTCAATATAATGACAACAATATCAAACAATCATGTTAGTAGAGATACTTTTAATTATATATATTGTACTTTATAATTTTCTGTTTTGAAAACAACTTAAAAAAAACACCATCAACAGAAGGGATGAATTCAAACATGTTGCCACTAACATAACTCAAATTATTGCTCTAATAAAGGTAGTTGATGGAATTTAACAAAATAAACGAAAAGTATTTTGGTTATTTAAAGAAATATAATTTCAATTTAATCTCTTAGTCTTGCAATGTATAAATTGCATAATAATTATCTTGATTTGTGTAGTAGGAAACTAATAATACTAAGCATTTGCCTAACCCATGCCACTTCTTAAACGATGATGACAATATTAAACACTTGAAATCTAATTTTGCCAACCACCAGGCTCCACTCTTGATAGAGGCCTACCATGTGAATTTATAATTTTTTGGTCTCCCTAAGGTGAACTCCCACTAATTCATGATTATGCCCTAGTGATGAATCCACGAACCAATGTAATGGGGGGCAAAATTAAAAATATAACATGAAGTGAGGGGGCCAACATCTATTTTAATGTTTTTTTTGCAAGTAAAACTTCTAATTTTTTTCAAAAAGTGATTGGAGGGTGGCGGGGCAATGGCCCCCCTGCCCCCTTCTAGATTCGTCCCTGATTATACCTATTACAATTTATGCTCATAAGGCATATTAGCATATTTTCATGATCAATTTCATATTATATCAACCAATATGATTGAGTTTCACATTTAGAAACATCAAAAACCATTTAACAACATTTCATACCATATTCAAGCACTTTACATATATTTTCTAAAACATAACTGTACGTAGAAAATTTTATATCAAAATACATGCTAATCAATTTGTAAAACTTATAAATCAAAGATAACCAATATATATATATATATATATATATATAAGAATTTAAGTTTCAAGTTACCTCAACTTTTGGTTTTTCCAAACCAAGAGTACCCTTGAATCGCAAGTGGAGCCTCTAACAAGCTCAAGAGCTCCGACCCAAAGAGTAATTAATCTACAATTAGCACTATTGAACATCATTAATTATCTCTAATCAAAGTCTAACCCTATGATTCATGTACAGAAATGGGATTTAGTGGCATGCATTTTACAACAATAAAAAAGAAAAAGCCACTAAAATTAAAGCGAAAGACCTTAGATGATATTTCTTATTTTAAATGCCACCGTTTATAAAGTATTTGTAAAATAACAAGAGGTAATGTTGTTTGTTACAAGAAATGCCACATCTTTTTGTTACTCAATAATTAAGTGACATTTTAGTAATAAAAAGCTACCTCATTACTTTGTTATTAATTAATTAATTAATTAATTTTATTCTGTTAGATTAAATAATTATTTTATCATAATTATTTAATTAGTGTTAATAATTAATAATAATTTAATAATTAAAATAAGAGGTGGGGTTTCTTGAGGTTAAAAATGCCACTTTGCTTTGTTATTAAATTAATAATTTATTATAATGATTTAATAAATATTAATAACTAATATATAATATTATTTAATAAAGAAAAGTGGCGTTTCCAAAACTAGTAATCACCACCTCTCCAGTTTGTTATTAATTATGTATTTTGTTTTATCAAATTGAATAATTATTTTATTATAAATATTTAATTAATATTAATAATTCATAATTATAATTATTTAATAATTAAAAGTAGAGAGGTAGCATTTCTTGAGTTTGGAAATGCCTACTCTCTACTTTATTAAATAATATATATTACTTAATAATTAAAATCAAAGAGATGGTATTTTCTGAACTTGTAAACACCACCTTTCTTCTTTGTTATAAAATTAGTACTTTATTTTATCATATTAAATTAATATTTTATTATAATAATGTAATAAATATTAAAACTAATATATAATATTATTTAATAATAAAAAGCATAGACGTGGCATTTCCAAATCTAGTAATCACCACCTCTCTACTTTGTCATTAATTATGCATTTTGTTTTATTAGATTAAATAATTATTTATTATAAATATTTAATTAGTATTAATTATTATTATTATTTAATTATTAAAAGTCTATAAATGGTGTTTCTAGAGTTTGAAAATATTACATCTTTAATTCATTATTATTTACTCCCTCCATTCAAAAATGTAAGATATTTTTTAAAGAGTTAGGTGTTTAAAAATGTAAAAAATTTTTAATCTTTCAATGTATAATTATTGTCTTTTTTTTTTTAAGTTTCTCTATTGATAATAAATTTATATTTACTGTACAGTATTTAATAGAAATAAATATAAAAAAATAGGGTTAGTTTAAAAGTAGATATGTATTTTTATCAAATTAGATAATTATTTTATTATAAATATTTAATTAGTATTTGTAATTAATTATAATTATTATTTAATAATTAAAAGAAAACAACTGGATTTTCTTGAGCTTGAAAATGCCACCTTTCTACTTTGTTATGAATTAAATTTTCTTATTATTGTACTTATTTTTATTATTGATATAACTATTTTTCTTGATTAACAATAAAATAATTTAATTATATTTAATAAAAAATATTGCTATTGGTTGGCAAAAAATATTAAGAATTATTGTTATTGCAAATATATTTATATATTTTTCTTTTTTTCGGCCTTAAGATATTTATTTTATGTCAAATATTATCTTTAAAATAATATTTTTTAAATATCCGGTGGCGCTTAAAGATTTTTTATTTGTATACTTATTTAATTTATTTTAAATATTATTTTTAAAAGAATATTTTATTCAGATGCACTAAGGTGGCATTGCATAATCAAAAAAACCACATAAGTGTTTTTAATATGTTATTATTTTTTTTCTATTTATTTTATTTATATTTATATGTTTTACATAAAATATTATTTTTAAAAGAATATTTTATTTGAGTAAACTTAGGTGGCATTTTAGAGTCAAGAAATGCCGCCTAGGATATTTCATTTATTATTATTATTATCATTATCATTATTATTATTATTATTATTATTATTATTATTATTATGACAATTATTTTATTTATATTTATATAGTTATATTTTTTATTGTTTGGTTATTTACTTTTTTAATTATAGTTTCTGTTTTAGAGAACTGGTTTAGGGGCTTAAAATGATACTCCACCGACAACGGTTAAGGAATTTGTTTAAAATAGTTTTTAAAATAAATTGAAAAGCATGATGGAATTGCTTCTTACATTTAAAAAAAAAAATTCATGAAACAAGTGGCGTTTCATTATAAACTAAACGTTACCTTACTTTTTCTTTCTAATTAATTTTTGTAAGATCTGGGTAGGTTTTTTGAGACGCTCCTCACACCTAAACCCTACTCTTTGCAGCGTTCTCTGTCTCATCCTCTTTGCTGAGTTGAAGCTCGCCGGCTTCACCTTCTTTGTCTGCCCTGTCCACCGACAACGATTCTGCTATTCCATAAGTCTTTCTCTGCATTTTTCATTTTCATTTCTAAAGCGTAAATGGGACCTTGTATTTCCTCTACTCCAAATTTGAACTTGTTGCCCCTACCAACTAGGTGAAGATCTGATGCAGTAACGTGTTTTAAGTCACAATCTGGATCCCTCACTTCCTCTATTTCTTAAATTTCAAATCACAATTTCATTGAGTTTGTTCTCTCCCTTTGCCTTGCAAACTTACGGTAAATTTGGTGTCTGAGTTTTGCGTTTTTTTTGTTTACATTTTAGGAATATGAATTCACAACTTGAATTTTGTTGAGTTCACAAATTGTTTTCAATAGGAGCGTCAAAAGTAAAGATGTTTTATCTGATAAGATGTTTTGCTGCGTAAAATGTAAAATTTCATTCAGCTGATGGAGATTGAGGTATTCTTCCAGGCGATTAGTTCGCTTCGGTAGGTGATTTGAGCTTTTTTTTTCTTCTTATTATTGCTTGTATGCTTGCTATTTTAAAATTTAATTGTTTAGTCATGATCTGATGCTATATGACTTGTGGATAAATCTAGTGAATTCAGATTTTTCCTTAATTTTGAGTCTGCGATGCCTTGCAAATTCTGTATGTTGCCTATAACAGAGGGACTCTTCCATCAGAC